ACTCTTTTGGAAAGTTTGGTGATGTGAATTAATGTCGGTCACTACAGCCCCAGCAAGGACTCTGAGTAGACGGCACTAAGGCCCCGCAGAAACCTCCACACTTCACTGACTTACAATTAATCATAGGTCACGAAAAGCAACATGCAAAAGAACTGATAGAAAAACAATCTGGCTTTTGAACATGTACTCAGATTCTTTTTCATGTGTGTGTTATATGCACAATTATATATATCCAAAAATTTGAAGGACATTTGACCCTTTTAAGGATTAAGAATATTTTATTTCACTCTAAATTCCATGCATTCAGCCATTGTCTGTACCTGGTTTTTCTTACCTGGTCGTGGGGTAACTGGTGCCTGTCCAGTATTAACGCAGAACAATAGAGAGAAAAATGGGACAAATCGGAATCGACAGATTGTAGAATGTGGAAGTTCAGAAAACTGTAATCAGAGCATATATTACAGTTAGTAAGTATATTATCAAGTGCAGGATATAACAAGCTAGTTTGATTTGCCAATTTTATTGTTTTGTTTTTTCTTGCTGCCTACAACAAATAAAATGAAATCAGCAAAAAGAGAAGAGCTACAGTAAGAACTTGGCTGAATGAGTGATTGGATGTAGTTTGGTTTATTTTCTAAGTGACAGTGATTTTTTTTTCTTGCTGTTTTGTACCAATACAAAAACAGTCTGAAGTAAAGATAAGAAAAACTGTAAACACACTGACACTGACATTAACAGTATAACTTTGTATGTCACTTTATGTCATAAAGGTCTGCTTTATTTCCAAGTATAACTTGCTGCTCACATGGATTAAAAAGGATATTTAGCTTGTGGGCATAAATTGTTCACTCAAACCAACTGGGCTCAGTTTGAGAAGAGAGAGCATCAGGACCACTAGTGGAGTGTAAAATGTAGATTATACCCCTGTGAAGTGGCTGTCCATCAGAACCTGAGCTCTTCCAGGCAATATGCCAATTAGGACATTACCATACAGACTGCCACTGAAATTATACCTACGTCAAGGCTGAAAAGAAATCTTTTCAAAAAGCTGGCAGATGTGGTAACTGTCAGACTCCCAGATGTCTCAGTCAGAGCAGCTGAATAAAAATAACTTTAAAATAGCCTGTAACCGTGCATGAAGTTGCTCACCTTGTATGATGATGGGTGGCTATTTTACAAGCATTTTGACACCTTGACTTCCAGTGTAATTCTCACCGTTTAACAAAGTGGATGAAAAAGACGACAAACAGTGAGATTCTTGTACATCAGTTTATGTTATGGAATGGTGTAAGAAAAACATTTGCAAGTTATTGTCATTCACAACTCATGATATAGCATAATGAGTTGTGAATGACAAAGATTAAGGTTTAAACAGCACATTACCAGCGTGCAAGATTTTTCTAATGTTGAAATTTTATGGTTAAGACTGACACTTGTTCTCTTGTGCTGGCATCTTTTACCTTAAGAACAATGAAACATTTTTTTGCAACCCTTTAAATACCATCTACATGATCTCATTCACCCAAGAAAGAGCCCAATCTGAGCAAACAGTTTTACCGCTTTAGCTTCTTGTAGCCGTCTGTCAGTCTCTGACATGATCTGAACCAGGTTTGCCTCCCACTTTCAGCTCAGAGGCGTTTGAGGATTCCTGATTTATGTGTCCCATTTCAAGTGACTCCATATTATCCAGATCTGGACTTTGACTCAATCCAGAAGTCCTCAACTAGTTCTTGGTAGATTTACCAGCAGGTTTTGGTTTGGTGCAGTTTAACAAATTGTCTCACATTTTTCTTCAGGTAGCCCCTTATACACAGCAGAATTCATAATAAATGCTGTGGGACTAACGTGCCACAGGTGTCGGATTACAAATTGTGTATGACTGGATTGATGTGTGCATATCTGCTAAAGTGTGCATTTAAATAGACAAAGCCAGGGCTGCCTATCTTTGATTAATTACTAAGATAAATAGAATTCCACTATAAAGATGAGATTTCAACAGTAACATGCCGTTATTGTAGGTCAACATGCTAGTGGTAGCTGGGTGATTGTCCAAATTCAGTGCCTTTTGTATCCCACAGGTTTATCTCAAAGATTTTCATATAATGCAAACAATTTTTTTGAGAAAATCAAGAAATGGAAATATCCACGTGTCTTGGTAATATAACATGCAAATATATTTTTAAAATCATGTTTTGAAAAATTTTATGGGTTGTTGAAGTGTAGAGGTCAGCCAAATGAGCATGACCCCACTGACCAATGTTAATTTTTCAGTGAATATAAAACAAAAATAGCCAGTAGCTGCAAGTTATTTGTACCATTATAAACATTTTTTGATATACTTTAACCTAAATAAAAGAAATTACAAAAAATACATGAATTATATATAAAATAGCACTTTTTAATCTTGTCCCTCAAGTTTTGTTCAACCCCATAACAGCATACTAATTCCTCCTTTTTATAAATAATGGTTCAGTTCAATTTCCTCAGCACCCTGGAAGTGACATCACTGAAGTCTCTTCCTGATCACACTGTAAAGAGATTTAAGTGTTAGGAAAGTTTCTTACCTATATTTGGTTATTTTTTACCCAAATATCATCATTGTCAAGCTTAACCTTTCAACCCTGTTACAGATGTAAATGATATTTATTGTTTGGGAAAAAGTAAAGAATGGTCTTTGAAACACATATTTCTTGTTTTCATCTTATCATATGTTGCTCCATACCCTAGCTGATGTGAATTTATGGCAACTTTTAGTGAAAATCTTCAACCCCGTTACAAAAATGGTGGTTTTGTTACGGGTTGAACGTTGGACTGTTGTTAAGCCAGCCAGAGTGTTCGACCCTGTAACAGTCTGGTCAACTTTTACAATGGGTTCAACCCCATAACGCGATATGTTGATGCAATTACTTTTGTAATAACAGCAAATATTAGACTAATATTTGTTGGACTGTATGCAAAGTTTAAAGAATGATTCAAAAACATAAAAAAGCCTGATTTAATTTTTATTTTTAAGTGTATTTTCATGATTTATGAGAAGCACTTTTACATCAAGTTGCCATATTCTACTTATCAGTCTATTATTATTCAGAAACATAAAATATACTTAGAATTAGTTATTTTAATCAAGGGACAGGTGATTTCAAAGGAACTGGAAGAATTAGTTTAATTATGTTATGCAGTTATACTCAGAGGAATGAAATTGTCCCATTACAGGGTTGAATTTAAAGCAACCCAAGCAGCAAAGAAATTCAAATTAATGTTTGGGATTTCATGCATAAGGTGGGGATACATATTTTCTTGGAGATTAAAAGAGACCTTCAATAGATGCACTGCTCAAAAACACAATTTTTTGTGTTATATTTATATTTTTAAGTAACCATAGACCCCAAAAGGCACAGAATTCAGAGAATCACCCAGCTGCTATTATTAGGTTTTTGTTTTTTCTTTAGCTAGTTTTAGCCATCAGCTAGCTTTTGCTTTGACATGGGTTTTTCACTCTGCATAGAATTTGTTACTGTAGGTTAACATGATAGTGTAGCTAAGATTATAACATTAGTATTTCAGCTAGCTTTAGCATTATAGCTAATTTGAGCTTTTTGGGGTTTTTTTTCCCTCTGTATGGAGTATGTTACTGAAGGTCACCATGCTAGTGCTAGATATGTTATTTGTATTTTAGCTAGTGTTAGCTTTTTAGCTCATCTTACCTTATAGGCTGCTATGAAAAGGGTATTCTGCAGTGATTTCTAATAGTCTTTGGGTGGGATTTTTGCATTAACTGAAAGTTTTCCCTCCTCTTCAGCAGTTTTTTTTTGCATTTTTGACTGTTTCTTACATTTCTGCAATTGACTTCAAATTATTCTGCAATTTTCATCAAAAACATTCAGCTTTACAACATTCACACTACATTTAAACAAACGCATCTTTATCCTAGTTATACTTTATATTTATCTGAATGCCCATCTGCTTCCAGTCAGGATTTATACTGTCCAACTTAAGTCACAACAACCTACCATAACATAAAATTAAAAAGACAAGCAATAATGCTTTTTTTTTTTTTTTTTTTTTTTTGGGGGTTTTAAAAAAAAACTGCCGGTGCCAATTTTAAATTCCTCTCCATCACTGATGCCTGACGGGCTGTAATTTCTATTCTCTCAGTCCAGTGGAGCCTACTGAGCTGGAGATTATGAAGTGACGGTTTAGATTATTAAGCACCGACTTCATCCAGTTTTAAATCTCAAAAAAATATTTGAACATAAACGAAAACAGATGCATCTTATAAAACAACCAGGCAGTCGAGCTAAATCACCCTGTGCTTCAGTGAACTCACATTTTTTATTGTCACCGTTGAGTGAACATTTCCTCTAGTCAGTGTCAGTCTACATATCGATGGAATTCCTGTCTGACTAATGGCTGTAACAGAACTTGGAGTGAAAATCTCGGGTAGAACATTAATTTTCTAATTTCCCTGTCAGTCTCAATTTTGTCCTTCAGTCTGTCAATAAAGTTGCATTGATACTGCAAAAAGGCCATTTAACACATGGCAGTTGTTAACTGATTATTGACAAGAACTGCTGCTGTCTAATGGGAACAAAGCCTCTACAGCTACTAGAGTTAGCTGTTGGTACTGCTGATTCAATTTACTTTTATTTTTTGGACTTATGTAGGAACAGGGATATTCTATTGAGTATTAATACTTTTATTGAAAATGGCTTTTTACTGACTTACAGGTCTGCAGTGTTGACAGGCAGGGGGGCAGTCAGTGACGTCAGAGAGGAAGCTGTAGAGAACAGCAAGAGGGAAATGTTCCGACTGTGCAGCGGTCCATTTGGGACTCAAATCACAAAACATTCCACAGCAGAGATGCATATCAATATCTGTATTGGTCTAGATACTGAAAAAAACAAAAAAAACACTACATCAGGTATCTGTGACAATGTGAACAATCCATAAGGAGATCTATTCAGTCTAGTTCCATGCTTTGTGCTCTGAGCACCATCATGCTTTATTAATGTTAGATTATATTTACAGTTCCTAATTACACTTTCAAACCATTTGGAAAAAAAAGCTTTGTTGCTGTTTATTTTTTATTTGTTTGACCAAGATAGTCAGTTTATTCAGCTTCTTTTTTTATTTATTTTGCATTTGCTGTTGGACTCCTAATTGCGCTGACTGAACAAATTTTAATTTGTTGTGTTGTGTTGTTTTTAGCTTGTTTGAACAAGATTATGAAGCTGTTGGTACTGTACTGGTGCTGTTACAAATCAATTTGTAATTCAGTCCAGTATGTCTGTGTTTAAAAAACAAAACATTTTAAGTCAGTTGAGCTGTTCTGTATTGGATCAAAATCAGTTGATACTAAACCTAAGGTAATGAAAGTGAAAAAAGTGGCTCGGTGATTCCCTAAACCACAACTCAAACCACAACCCAGAGCCAATGCTTGATAGTAAACCGTCAAACACAAGAAGGTAAAGGTCAGTATTCTTACCAGGATGATGGTGATGCAGGGCTCCAGATATCAGGCTGAAGATGCAGAATCCATTATGGCCAAAGCAATGACTGAGTAATCCAGGAACACACACACACAAGTCGTGAGGTTTTTATTGGCAAAATGCAGTTGATAACTTGGAGGAGCAACAGAGACTGAGACAGGTTTCAGTAGACCAGGGCACAGGTGAAAACAGGGCAGGGTAATCAGGCAGGCTCAGTTGGGTGGAATAAGGCTGATTAGAGAAGTGGTATGAAAACATGAGGGAAGAAAAAAGCAGACGATGCATTACCGGAACGTGAATCATAACATCTTTATTTAAATGATAAATTAATCCCCAAAAATGTGGATGCATTTTTACAGAGACTTTCATACATTTATCAACTTCAATGGAGTTACCTTGTGTGATTGAGAACAGCTGTTCTATATTCCAGCTATATTTGGGTGTATGTTTGCACTTTGGGTTCCATTGTTTTCTTTTTTGTTATTAGTCAAGGCATTTTAAGAAAAGGTAACAGTTTTCCAAATTTTAGTTATAAGGTTAAAGGGCTGGGAAACCTTAAAGCTTCATATATTTCCTACAAGATACATTTTTAATAATTTATGTTTATGCATTGGACAGAATATTTTATCTGAAATGACTTCAAGATGAGGATTCAGTACAATCAAACTTAATATTTATACTATTGCTAAAATAAAACCCAGTGAATTCTATTTCACTCTGTACACTTCTAACTTCCAGTTCAAGTCTGACTTTTGTCATCTGCAGAAATGCTCAGATGACTCTGCAGTGAAACATCAGACTGGGTCAGTCTGATGGTTTGCATACTAAACCTTCAGGGGAGATACATGTGGCTCCTCCCAAATTGGAAAAGAAAAGAGTGGAAGAAAGGGGAAGGGGTTCAATTAGCTAGCTTGCCAAAAAGAAAGCGGAAAGAGGGACTTCAAAAAGACTGGAGATGCGACAGTGAAGCATCTATAAGAAGAGACAGAGCAGACTGGACTTGTTGAAGAAGCTAAGGTCCTTAAAGGTTTGCAGCAAGATGTTGCTGACCTTCTATCAGTTTGTTGTTGAGAGCATCATCTCTTCTGCCGCTATCTGTTGGGGCAGCAGCATCAGAACCAGGGAGATAAAAAAGACTCAACAGCCTCGTAAAGAAGGCTGGTTCTGTTTGGTTCTAATCTAGTTCTGTTCTGGGTATGACTGTGGAAACTCTGGAAATGATGATGCAAAGAAGGATTTTTAATGAAATCAAGAGAAATGTGGAAAACCCTGACCATCCTCTTCATGAGACTGTCTTAGAAAAACAAAGTGCCTTCAGTCAGAGGCTTCTTCACATACCCTGTAATACAGACTGCTACAGGAGATCTTTCCTGCCAATAGCCATCACCATCTACAATAACTCTTTCAAGAATTTGAATTAATAAGAGTTACAACAACACTTAATTTTTCTTTGGGATCAATATTGTATTTGATGCAACGATACAGTTGATAATATCAAAGCTAACAATAAACTAACCAGCACCCCTCCTGACCCCACTAAGGGACAAGGGTGTACAGAAAATGGATGGATGGAACAATAAACTATTTAGAAGGAAGTCCACTTGTCAGGCTCTGTCTGAGGTGGCCGCACAGAAATAGAGTGCAGTCCAAAAAGAAGGCATTTGACATTGAAATGCCATTATGTCAAAATAACTTTATATTTTATATTTTGTTCTTTGTTTTTATTTCCAAGCCAATTTTTGGCATTTGTGGTATTGCTGATTGTGTAACACCAGGAACTGTCAACAAGTTGTAAAAACAAGTCAATATATAGAGATGAAAATACACGCTCAGAAAGTCCTTAAAAGCTCAGGGACCTCATGCAAAAAAGAGTCCGCAGTTTTCACACTAAAACTTGGCGTACGGAAAAATGTAGAAAAATGCGGCGCACAAAAGAATTCGGATGTATAAAGCCGTGCGCACGCACGTGGCCGTGCACTTTTCCTTTGTACATTCCAATTTGCGGTAAATTCAATCCTCCCTCTGAATCCTTCCATTGGAGATGTTCTCCATCAGAACCAAAGCGCTCCACAATTTCACGGCTCACATTTATGCAGCTACTGATACGTGTGATTGTCTACACACCTTGATCACCTAGAATTAAATTACCCCACAGATGCATTTCACGCGCTTCGGCACACAGTTCAATCTTTATGAGACAAAAAACTGAGGAACTGTATTATTTACATTCTAGTGAGGTTTTCGTATCCTTTTATTTTTGTTTTCTTGATTTTGTGTGCGTGTTATGTTATTGTATGAAAATAAATATGGTTCAGTTTCACTGTTTACATTTAAACAATAAAATATTAAAACCATGAAAAAAACATCGGGTTCGATGCTTCCTGGTCTAAATAACTGTAGTCAGATTTCAGTGTATTTATGTGAGTTTTGACGCTTTGTAGTTTGATATTGTTCACAGAAAAAGTTTGCATGGCTGCCGCACATTTTCACGCCAGGGAAAAAGTGTGCGTATATTTATGCAAACTTTGACGCAAAGTTAATTTTTATACAGGCCGACTTGTGCGTAAAATATGGCGCCACACATTTTTTGTGCGCACGCCGCTTTATGCATGAGGCCCCTGAAACGCTAATCTAAGAGGACGAGCCCTCTTGGGCCTTGTGGCACCCTGTGGAGGTTGTCATGCAGCAGGGCTGAATGCTCTGACTTCACAGAGCTGTAGTTCCTCCTTTGTCCTGCTGGAGCTGCAGTAGACAGCCCGTGTTGCTGCTGGTCGTAGCTGCATGAATTTGCTCTGGCGAGTCTGCATGTTGGATTTATATCCTAACGTGACTGTAGGCTTATTTGAAACTTGCATGTGTGTTTCTATTATTTCTCTGTGTTAAACCCTCAAATAGGTTGGGGAGTGTGTAGAATGTGCTATGCTTCTCCTTCTGTGCCTTCTAAAACTTAAAAACTCCTCATATTTTTTAAAGTGCAGACAAAAAGTACAGTTTTTTACAAACTACATATTCCTTTTGGAATCATTTCTGTTTGATTTCATTGTGTGTGGTTCATCATGATGAGCGTTGGAAACTAGCTGAACTAAAAGGTTCTTCAGGTTTGTGCAGCACTACCATACGGTACGGAGCCCGGGGACATGGGGATTTTTTTTTTTTTTTTTTTTGCGTTCCCTCGCAAAAGGTTTTGCGTTCCCTCGCAATAATCTACTGATCAGTTCATGCGGTATAATTGATACTGTAAGCCTTTTTTACGGTGGCCGCCGTACTTTCTGCTTTAATATAAGCTTATAACGGTTTTCCATGGACTATTGAGTTATTATCGCGGGGTAATAAGTCATCTGATTGTGTCTCTATTGTGTTCGTAGTCTTAATGGTTTAAAGGGCTGCTTTCTGTGCCGTTCCATCTTAGCCTTAACAGAGTAAATAAATCGATTTTCAATCAGTTTTTTTGCACCAAAGCGTTAATAATAATAAACACGTTTTATTATTATAAAACACAGCAAACTAATGGTGGTAGAGGGCCGCACTGGATTAACTCGGGGAATCTCATCTGTCCGTGTATCAATCAACTCCTAACCTCTTCTTTGTTCTGTCACAATTATCGATTTATTAAATTTTTATTATCATGCTCCAAACTTTGCGAGGACTGACCCCCCAGCTCACCCGCTTCCTCATACACACACAGCCAACAGCGTCACCTTCCCATTCATACTTCATGACGTCACTCCCACATCGACACGCCCACCACCAGGTGTCAAAGCCGCTGCTCCTGTCATATCAATAATTACTTATTTCATTCATATTGCTCTTATAGAGCCTCAGTGAAAATGTGTTTATTATTATTAACGCTTTGGTGCAAAAAACTGATTGAAAATCGATTTATTTACTCTGTTAAGGCTAAGATGGAACGGCACAGAAAGCAGCCCTTTAAACCATTCAGACATGAACACAATAGAGACACAATCAGATGACTTATTACCCCGCGATAATAACTCAATAGTCCATGGAAAAACCTTATAAGCTTATATTAAAGCAGAAAGTACGGCGGCCACCGGAAAAGGCTTAAAGTATTCAATTATGCCGCATGAACTGATTATTGCCAGGGAACGCAAAAGTTTTGCGAGGGAACGCAAAAGGAAAAAAAATTCCCCATGTCCCCTGGAGGGCTCCGTACTACCAACACTCTGAAATCTGGCAGTCCAGGTGAAAACAAATATTTATGAAATTCTGTCTGCATTTCATTAACAATCCATTCTTTCACGTTTTTAATATCACAAAACAACAGCACTCTTTGACCATCTGTGACTCTTAGCAGAACACCTCTAAACATTTTTATCCTCAAACATTGGAAATTGATACATCATGTGCTTTTCTCACAAATTTTTTCTAAATTTCCCTTCAGGTCTGCAGGCACAAGAAGGACCTATTGAGGCCATTGGAAGTTCCTCTTTACTTTAGGTATGACCTGAAGCTTTGTCTGCACACTGTGTTGCAAAAATTGGTTCATTTAATTATTCCTGCTTCTTGTTGAATAGATTACCATGAAGTTATCAGCTTTATCATAGATTTCAGAATAAAGAAAGCTTAACATAAACAATATGCACACAGCACTTCAGATTTTCTACAGAATTTTCAAAAAATTGTCAATTTTCTTCCAGTCATACTGAACTGTGTATCAATTGGTTCTCAATGAACTACACTGAAGCTGCAGTATGTAAGTTTTATATATATATTTTTTTACATATCTGTTGAAACTGTGGTAAAAACTATGGTATGAGATTGATAAATGGTAAAAAAAAAAAAAAAATAACAATAAAAATCCAGCTCCTCTACCTTCACCCAGTGCTAATTAGAAACAACCAATCAGAGTCAGGAGGCAGGGCCTAGGGGTGTCAGTCATGCAAGGTTGATTTTCCTCCTGTCTCTGATTGGTTGTTTTTGGTTGTTCATTTCTTCAGACAGCAGTAGTCACTCATGGAGAAGATGGAGGAGATCGATCTTTTCACAGATCATCTGTCTCACAAACTGCTACAAATGACAGTTTTAACAAATTTGTCAAAACCTGATTTTTTATGAGTTATACATAAAATATAACTTTTTTATGAGTTATACATACATTAAAGTTTATGGTTTTAATGTGACAATGGACCACAAGGAAAAAATTCACAGTAGCAGCTGTAAAAAAGTATTTTATTAGTTCAGTTTTTCTGTACATACTGTGATTTTTCCATATATTTTGGTGACATTTAAATATTTCACATCATTGAATGTATTCTGATAGATAAAAACAGCCTGATTCAATTAAGGTTGAGGTAGTTATCAAATGATTTGCTTTGTTTCTGTAGGACCTGGCTGATGTATGCTATGACAAATTCTTCTGTTCAGCAGGAAATCCTGAAGGACAATGTGAGGCCATGAGATTAAGGCATAAGGACTTTGCTGTGCACTAGGAGATGAGCAGCTTTGGCTCAACAGGAGAAAAATGAAGGAGTGGGAGGAGCGTAACTGAGATGCTGTGAGACATAAACGTGCTGTTCATGTGTGAAACCTACTGTTGCTGAATTTAAACGGTTTTGTGAAGAACAGAAGGATGAAACTTATTCGTAGCCTATTGAAAAGCTTGATGTCAGTTACTGTAGCCAAAGGTTGCAGTAACCAAATAGAGTCTAAAATGATGATTACTTTTTCATATCAGACCAGATCGTGTGTATGGCTCTTTTCATTTAATAAGAAATTATTTGAAAACTGCATTTTACGTTTACTTGGGTTATCTTTGCTTTATAATACACTTTGTTTGTTGATTGGAAACATTTAATTGTGGCAAAAAGTAAATTTGCAAAGGTCCCAGTCATGACATCCCAGAGATGAAAGAAAATCATTCATATTTTCATGTTAAAGACGTGATTGTTAATGCAATAATTTCATGATTATTACAAATAATATAAGGAAATAAGATGTTTTCATTAATTTTTAAAGCTAAATACATGTATTTGATGCATCCATCTCAAAAAAAAAAAAAAAAAAAAAAA